AGCCTCTAGTAAAACTTCTGCGTTCCTCTTTATTGTATTCATATCGTCCCCCAATAAATTAACATCATCAGCATATGCCAATAGCTGATGTGTCCCATTCAATTGCAAACAGAGCCATTGCCCAGTGTAATGTCACAGTGAAAGAGATTTGGCCTTTATGCCATTTTTGTATAACCTTGTACGCAAAGAACTTCGGAGACTTGAATAAGAAATGTAACTTACCAACTGATTCAAGAATACTCATGGCTGTGCTCAAATCAATGTTAGCAAAGTTGAGATTGAGTAGTAATTCAACAAGTTTGCACTGAGCATCCAACGGTCCCTGTCGGTTAGCCAGGGCTCCTGAAGGTTGTACTAACTGATATACTAGTTTCAGCAGTAACTCTTTAAGTTTATTTCCATATTTACTGGTAATTGTCACAACATCACACCTCATCTGTAGTCTCACAAGGAAATCATGGAGGGCATGACAAACAGATGGTCCAGCCTGAAAATTCATCGAACAGAAATAGACCAATGAATACTTTGACTAAAAATGCAAATTTCAAATAATGCATAAAACATCCCGTCTTTCATTTAAAAAACTGTCAGGTATTTCTACATACCCCCCGCCCCTCCAATCCAATTACAAGTTTACACAATTAACTAATTTACTTACGCATCCTTTAGCAGAGTAAGTTCCAGTGTTCAATCCAGAACCAGAGAGAAAACGTAGCAACATGGGCACAAACTGTGGATCACCAACAATTATCTTGGCCATGCCTCTTAGCGAGTTTTCAATTTCCTCTACTGTCTCTGGTGCCCAGGAGGCAGCTGCTTCTGGTGATCCAGCCTCAGCAAATGGAGTGTTTGCTAACATTGTTAAGCTCTGAAATGCCAAACACCAAGCTCGCAGAGAGATGCCAGGATGCCATGCAAAGGCAGCCATTAGTCCTGACACTGCATTTGGACTGAGATATATACAAGGAGAAACCCCTGGATCAAATGTTCCTAACACTCCCGGATCACATGCAGATTCCAAATTCAGGGTCAACCACAACTGTAGCACCAATTCCAGATTTGTCCATGAGTTCTGAAATATGAACAAATTTTCCTTAAACATTCAATCACACAGTAAAAATTAACAAGTGCACAAGATCAAAATGAATTAAATGTATCACAAAACCAAAATATGGGACAGGTTTCTGTCCGGCAAAAATATTGTATTTAGGATGGTATGTTTTTTTGCATAATTTTTTTTAAAAAATATGGCAAGTGGGCGCCTTGTAATTATGGCAAATGGAGGAGAAAACATCCAGATAAGCAGGGTACCTACAAATACAGATTTAATAAAAAGTTCTGCTGTAAGAAGAAGAGATGGGATATAATATTAAAATAATATTAGAAAACAGGTATGTGGTTATGTGAACTGGACTCATCTGACTCAGTAGAAGAACCAGTAACAGGCTCTTTCAAACATGGTGACAAACCTTTGGATGCAAAAAAGGTAGGTAATTTCTTGAGTAGCTAAGCGATTATCAGTTTCTCAAAGGACTCTGCTCTATGGTGATACGAGAACAAAATACTGTGACAGTCCATACTGTAATAATGATGAGAATTATACATACTTGCTGATGTAATTCTGTAAACACTTTGTCAAAGCAAGCAGTCAGCATTTGCAAGCTGTCAGGTTGGTTGCAATCAGTTTGTTGCCAAATTACTAAATTAGTCTCATCCCACGCAGAAGAAGCTGGTTGTCTAGCAGTTTCAGGTGGAGGCTGGATTGCTGCATTCACACTGACTGGCAAATTATAAGCTCCTAAAGCTGTCAGTTTGCGCAACATCACCTCAGCACTTCCCTCCACTCCATATTCTAGTCTTGCATCCAAGGCAGTTGATATGCTTGAAGTTGCACTAACAGGTACACGATTTGCAGCTCCCTTTCTTAGTAAATTTCGCCCACGTTCTAGTATGTCATCCAGGAAGTCTTCCAGCTCGCTATCATCAGATTCCAACAGTGAGGGTAGCTGGAATCCATTACTCTTGGAACATGAAGGTCCTAAAAATTATATTACAATAAATCCTATTACATCGCTCAGAAACGTTTCATCTTCAGAATTTCATATACAGTGAAACCTCTATCCATCGTTCCCGGAACTATCGTTTTCCCGGATGCATCGTCCGTTTTGTTCGGTCCCGGATACATCCCATATAAAATAATGTTACATTTTCCCGCTTCTATCGTTCCTCGAACTATCGT